ACGCCATCCCTGTTTCTTACTATTGAAACTGCATTACAATGTTCGGAACTTTGTATACAACTTTACCAGTATCCTTATTTGTAAGGCTTTTGTATTTATTACATACAGCTTAGTATTCTTATTCTCTAAATTTATCTTATAGAATCTTGTAAGTTGCTGAATTTTTAACATTGTTTAAACTCGCAACTGAATTTTGTGTGCTATTGCACCAGCAAATAATGTAATAACATGATCAAAGTTAGCAATGTTGTCTGCTTCATCACGCTCAATACTAAATAGTGCCAAAGCAGATAGTCTCGCTTTTCCCATCATGGCTCTGAAATATGGCAGGATGAGCTTTAGTCATGTAGTTATTACAGAAAAGGTAAACAACAAGAGAAAATGGACTGAAAAGAAATCACAATCTCTAAATTTGCCAATAAAAACAACTACATTCAGATTCTTATTATTAACTGGAAAATATTCATGCCTGACGAATTTAAATAGATCAATTTCGTCGTGTATTTCTAAAAAGTGCTTATTTTTGACTCTCATTCTCCCATTTCAACGCCCCCTCAAACCTGGCGCCCGGGGCACGTGCCCTCTTGACCCCTTTCCCCATAGGTACGCCAATGACAGCTCCCACTGACGTCTCGGTCGAGAAATACGGTTAGCTGAAGTTTTTTTTCGCATATCTGATTACAAAATCATATCGAAATTTTACGTTCCACTTCTGACACTGAGTTGTGCTTCGCACACGCCGCTGACGGCGGCGTTCTGGGAACCCTGCGTTGAGCGAAGTCTACGACACACTGCACAGTGGAGTGACACACTGCACAGTGGAGTTCCTCACTCCACTGCTGAAAATACAGTATAGGCCTAGGGCCTACCCTTCTTCGAAAATCTTGATCTCTTTCTGTCTGATGTTTATCATCACGTAATTGTTGTTTTCCGAATAGTAAATTTAGGCGAATCTAAAAAAAATTCAGATTCAATTGCGTCAATTATATCTCTGGTTTCATATTTTGCATTCATTTAAATACAAGGCCCATACAAATGTGAAAACTCTAGGTTCTATCGCGATAATGTACAGAACAACTGATATCAGGCTGACCATGGACTGACACAGACTTGAAAGTAGCGCATGCGCAAAATAGGCTCTTTAAGAAGAGTTGTGAATAATTCATGACATTTTACCAAACTTACCTACGAAACAAATAATTACCTGCCCCAAATGTCGAGCACCCCCACAGCCTATACTGCCACAAAAAACAGCCTATGTTTCTCGACTCCTTTAGCATGCTTGTAATGTTTTTTTTTTATATAGAAATTCAAATTTGTGGCGCATACAAATAGAACAAAATAATGAGTGTAACCATTTATAATTAGACTTATTAGTCTCATTTTGATCAACGGCGGCGGAAGCGGGAGCCTGGGGGGCTATGCCCCCAACTTTTTCTACTAGGGGCCTCCCTCCACATCTACTTTTGTGACTGCTCCCAGCACCAGTGACATATTATTATTATTATTATTATTATTATTATTATTATTATTATTATTATTATTATTATTATTATTATTATTTGGTGCTTAGATACCTTGTTTATTTGATCCTTATAAATTGACCTATTATTATTATTATTATTATTATTATTATTATTATTAATATTATTATTACTATTATTATTATTATTATCATAAAATATAGTTTTATGTTTTCATTTTCTAACTAACATTACAAGTTCCCATTTTGAGTTGAGCAACCAAATGTTGATTGACGTTTCCTTGAAACCCACCATCGAACATGAAGAAAAAAGAATGGAATCGCCCGCCATTGTGAATTATGTGTTTAGAAATAGGGTGGAGGTAGGCACACTTTATAGAGCGATACTCTAGTTCTCTTTATGCTAACCATGAAGATATGTGTAACTGATTGGCTTACAGCAAACTTTCAAACTAGTGTAATATAACCACATTTAAACTCCATCTAATTTGAACACAACAATAAGATACTTAAAGGCCATTTCTTAAAATACAATTGCCTGAAGGTTAACTACAGAATTTACAGTACATTGTAGTTAATGTGTTATAGGGTGGAAAATAAGTATTGAATAAAAAATCTTTCGAATAACAAAAATCTTTCGCTTGACATTTAGGAATTAGTTATTTGTGAAACAAAACCATAGGCTATGTCAAGTGTTATATATTGAACAGTGGCGGATTCAAGGAGGAGCCAATCAGCACGGGACGCGCGCACGGGACCCCAACCTCCTAATTTTTAAAATTATATAAAAAAAATTGAGAAATCAGACAAAATTGTATTCAACTTTTAATGTGAGAGGGTCATTTCCGGGC